TTCTAACACATTAAAGAGATTTTAATTTCGATTTGGATATATTGAGATATGACTATTTTAATGAAAAGAGGTCAGGCTGCTAGTATTAATTAGTTGAGTTAACCCTTGTGTAACTTAGTTAATTTTTGTATAAATGGTCTCAAAAAGGGTTGATTAAATTCTGATGTGTTGAAATGATCTTGAATAGGCCATTAATTATTCTGAAAAAAAACTAAGTGGTGGAATCGAAAAAAGGTAAGTAGAATCTCACACATTTTGCTTGTCTTCAAATATATATATATATGTTTCTAAATGAATGAATGTTTTATTTCTTTATTTTTAATATATGAAAATGGAATCAAGCATATGATTATTTTGTGTTTTCGCTATGTAAATGATGGATCATGCTTATAAATGAAATGATAAAATGATTTATGTTTAAAGAATGATTTTATGATGGCTACATTTTTACATCCTTAGAAAGTGGGATCATCAACACCAGAACTAGTTCTACAACCCTGGCTAACAGGTGATAATAGTTAGCAAAAACATGATCATATGACTCAGGCTAATGGGTAATAATAGTTAGCATAAAGCCTTGGCTAGTGGGTTATAATAGTTAGCAATGATCATGAGAATGAAATTATCGATACGATCAATATCACGGGTTATAGCAGTGACCATAGCTAATGATAAACGAATTATAATTATGATTTATGATAACGATGATTTACGATAATTTTTAATGATTGATCCATGATTTGATTTGATTACGATATTTGAATATTAGCATATTTTGCAATGATTTATGAATTAACGTGTTTTTATTTTGATTTATGAATTTACGAAATGTTTAATAAAAAGATGATCGTTGAAATATTTTGACATTATGATTTGACGAATGTTTTGAATGATCTATATGATATGTATGAAAATTATGCTTGATCTGGTAAAATATGTGAGCCTATACTTACTGAGTTGTGGTTTGCTCATTCCCCTTTTATTTATTTTTTTTTTACAGATGACTAAGTGATAAATTTGGTTAGTCTTGTGTGAAGCTAGAAGATGAAATGAGAAAGATTACTTAGTCGTCGAAGAATATGTTGGCCAATGAGATCTTAAGAGACAATTTTGTATTTTATATGATTTGTATTTGGATATATAAAGATGTATCATTAATTGAATTAAATATATAGATTTTACTTAGTAAATTATTTTATTGAAGAATTTTAGAATGATTAAGAAAAAAGATTTCGTATTACTTTAGAGTTTTCTTCAAGATAATACAGTCATGTTACGTCTTGGTATCGAGACGTGACAATAAAAATACACCCAAACCAGCCGCCGTTAAAGAGCAAAGCGCCGTATCATCCATAAAATATAACATTACAATTTTCATCAAGCAAATCACACAAAACGCACAGGCATTGTCCCTCGTTATAAAGATAACGCCTCTAGATCTCAAGAAAGACTTTGAAGGAATGCAATTTGAAATCGCAGTCCAATCGCCTCCCCGCTTTTCTATACCACCATTTGCCATCATTCCTCCTTTCATCTCTAGTAAATCACCCCACAATTTTTCTTATTACTTACAACACTCGGAGTACAGACATTCACATCCACTCGGAGCCACATAATTAGAACTATGCTTATTCTATTGTTCAGAAACGAGAATGAATCTGCCATTAATCTCAATGGGACTTTTTGTAACCCACCTGATCTCCCAATTGCTGGAGCAAAAACCCAATCAAAATTATGGAACCCCAAAACCTCTTGACCCTCCTCGTTTCACAAGAAACCAGTTAAGTCTCTTGTATCAAAACCATTTCCACCTTCATCAACCTCAAAGCCCTTTTTTTTTTAATTGTTTACCTTTACCACACTCAACAAACCCCTTTTATTTCAAGACAAATCCTCATTCTACCTACCCCATAGCAACAATTACCAGAAAAAACAAATACCAACTATCAACAGTTTAACCTTAAAGACCTTTGGAAAATGTAGCTGCACTTATCAGTCAAATACCTTGCTTGGCAATTGGCATGGAGCCTTTTATTATGTCTTGACGAAAATCCGATTGTTGCGAATTGCGTATCAAAGCCACTTCGTCTGATCGGGATCATTAGCATCCTTGGTATTCGTATAAGCATCGGCCTTCGACTGGTTATTAGTAAAAATTATTACGTGCTTGGATTTTCTTGAACGAATTTCATGAGCTGTTGTTACTTTTCCTCGGTTTCTCCCTCCTGTTTCTAAATCGTCGATTAATTTGTATGATCTTGGAGGAACTTTTTTTTTTAATTGTTTAATTGTTGGGATTAGTTGTAACTATATTAAATAAAAATTTTAAAGTTTTGACTCACAATCCTTGAAATCCGTATTTTTCTGTTCACTTTCTGTTTCTATCAACAAAAGAAGTTTTTTTTTTTATTAATAATGAATTTATATGAGTATATCTATTGTCCGTTCAAATTCATAATAATCTGTAATAAAAAATATAACATGAATATTATTTATCCTATTCGTGTTTTATTATTTAGAAATTTGATTTATTCTTAAGGTGAAAATAATTTTTTAATTCTTTCATGATAGGGTCCACGCAAGAAAGAATATTATGTTTTAGGGAATTTTTTTTTTTAGTTTCATTATTAGAAAATCGAATTTTTTTTTTCAAGTATGCCCAAATAAAAAGATTGGAGAAACAGTTGGAGAGGTGATAAAACCATATACTTTTCATTATAAAACCAATAAATCGAAAAAAAAAAATTTGTGAAAAAATTTTTAGACTTATAAAAAATGAATTTGCTCTTGTAAAAGTTATTGAATAATTGAAAATGAAAAGCAAGACGTAAATTTTGTGAACAATGCTCACTCAAGAATGGGACGGCAGTGGTCCGCCGGCAAGCTCGTTCTGATCTTGGACGCAGTACATTGGAATCCTGAAGCACCACCACGAACGCTACCGCGCGTTCGCCTGCGGTGCGGTAAGGCACCACCCTGTTGCGCGTGAATTTAGTAGATAGTTGACTTTTTATAGACTCAACTGTATTTTTTATTTATTTATTAATGTCAGCAGAGTTGATTATACGATAAATTTAATTTGAATTAATTGTAAAATTATAACACAATCAAATTCAAATGAACAAAATATTAAATTGAATCGTACCAATCTCTAATGGGAATTATTACTCAATTTTGTGTTTGCTGTTTTACATTTCAATTATTTCTTCAATTAAAAGAAATAAGTAAATGGACGGTTAATACTGCGAGATGCCTTGTCCTCTAGTTTGTTTTCCCTTTCATTCTTCTAACATTGAAGATTCTGACCCGACTGAAGGAAGATAGAGGTCGAGTGACGTGATCACCGCAGATTATTTAGTGTTTTCTTTTTTCAGCATTTGTCCATGTGTCTGCCTTTTGAACATTGTCCCCTCTCCCAAGCACGTTTATCTAAAAGCTTTACTAAGTTCTTCTCTTATCACCAGGAAATATACATTCCTTCGAAAGCTGCTTTTATATATATTCTAATCTGACCCATTGGGTTCTCACTTTGAGCCTTACCATTGACGTTACAACCTTTTACAATCTGGAAACTAAAGGGGAATGATCTGAGGGTCCAATTAAAGTCCACGAGAACATCATAATAAAATACAAGTTATATTATTGTAATTTGAAACGTTTAGTGGTTGAAATTATACCAGCCATTCTAAAATTGCTTTGTGGCACTGTGAGGTGAATCGAGTGCTATTATTATTATTATTATTATTATTTAGCAGCATGTTCACTCCATGCTTTTTGGATACTTAAATTGTACTTACTCCAGAAAATGCAAACCAATTTCTATCCTGGATAAACTAAACCTTCAGGCATGAATTTCAGCTAATAAGACATCAAATTTAGCAAAGAGGTTAACCAGAATGAAGAAAAAGAATCCATATAGCTGATCCTGTTAGCTTCAGATCAAAGCTTAGCTGAATTATTTAACTATCCTTTTACATAAGCATAGAATCAGCTTCTATATGCTAGGATATTCCTCCCTTTGTCCACCACATATAATTAACAGTAGAAATAGATATTTTTCTTATGTAGAGGAGGATTTTGAACTATGTTTTTACATTCAAACCAAAATATGATCAATATGACAAGGCTATGTTGCCTCAATTAACAAATGTAACAAGCATATATACATATATCTATATATATTCCCTGGAAGGTTAGGACATAACGTAACATTATCTTTATTTGTAAAGGACCAAACAAAATTAAAAAAAAAAAAAAAACAATTCCCTTCCAGCTATGGAATAAGATGATGGGGCTTTGCTTACGGGAATGTTACTTTTCACTGCCTTATAGCATGCTCAATTCATGCTTCTAAACGGGATATTTTGCCTATAAATACATCATGATTGGATTCTCCTTTACATCAGGACTAAGAAAATCATCTCTCTTCTTTCATCCGAAGCTAGGAAGCTGATCATGTCGAGAATGGAGCATGACACAGGGGAGGTTCCGATTCATATTATTCGCGACGTGGATGACAATAAGAGTAAGAAACAGAGACCTGAAGGAATGATGCTGAGGAAACTGGATGTGGGTCCAAAGGACGACATAAACAAACTGGCAGATGCTTTCATCAGCAACTTCCGCAATCAGCTTACGTTTCAGCGGGATGAGCCGATCAAATATTGTCGGGGATGAAAGCCTGAGGCACCTAAGCTGTTAATATAAAAGAGGACATATTGACACAAGTAAGCAATCTTAGTTTTGGTGGTTAGACATGACCTTGCTCACTAGCAGAGAAATAAATGGTTTTTTTTTTTGGTTGAATGACGCTGCGATGAGTGATGAATCCTTCTTTCCATATAATTATAATGACAGTTGAACAAAAACCTGTTCTTTGTTTCTGCGCATTCATTGTTCACAGTTTTCTTCCGAGTTCTATAAGTTTAGGAATACTAATTGCTAAGACAAAAGCTTGACGCCAAGTTCGCAGGACCATCAAAATATATTGAAGATCTCCATGTCGCTTATCACAACCATATATAAATTATCATGGTAAACAAAATATAAATTCACAGCCACCAAGATGCAGGATCCAACTATATATTAACTCATCTCAGATAAATCATGTACATCTCAAAGCAAATCAAAGATTACATAATACAAAAGATAGATCTCACAAGAAGAAAGTCCTAAGCCCAAATGACCAGATTTACAAGTATCAGCTCTCTTCATAAATGTAAAGAAATAACCTCATAATTCTATTGCCGAGATCAACAGTGAACCGCCTCACCTGCAAATGGACCATGGGATAACATCCAAGCTGTTCTTCAATACTCAAAGGCACCCTTGCTCGCCTTTCTCGTTTCACTTCTTTCAGTTCAACAACAAGCAGAACATTCTTAATGAGGGTGTCTATCCCCTCCTTGGTGGGTCACCGTTGACATCAACCTCCATAGCAAGAATAAACATCAGGAAAGGTAACACAGAGTATATTCAGCTTTTCCATTGAGGAGGTGCTGAGCCCCAAAATGTCGGTAAACGAATAAACATTCAAAATCTGACTATCATGGCATGACAATTCTAAACAAATGCAGGAATTTCTACACATGAATAATTAAATTTTTAGTTCTCGTTTTCATGCTTGTAGCACCTGACAGTGAACAATATGACTTCTCAAACCACTTCGGCCTGCTATACTTGACCATATATTTGTAAAAAGAGTCCTGAAATGACCTCTGCCAGCAATGTTTTCCCAAAGATGAGGTTTGCTTTCAACCTTTTTATCCGGACTGGAAACATCAACCAAACTTATGCTCATATTATTGCGGATGATACAAAGCCTGCCATTGAGAGGAACAAGAGCAGCAGCTTCCAAGGCTCGAGAACTCCCAAAATGGAGCTTACTATCAATAAATTCGTTCCATGAATCTGAGGCTCCATCATACACCGTAAGCTTGCACCCATCACGGCAATCCAGGGCATAGAGCCGACCATTTAAAGAGATACTACGATTGCGCCAACCAGAAACCATCCCATCACTGACTGGTGTCCAGGAATTTGTTTCAGGATCATATGCTTCACTCATCACCTCATGATGGGACCCTTTTAGAAACCACTTTCCATCATACACTACCCCAACGAAAGGTACCATAGCGGTGCTCATATCTTGAATAAAACTCCACCGGTTCTTGTTAGGATCATAAACTTCAGCAGATCGTAATGTCCTTTGACTTCCCTCGCATTCCCCGCCAGCCACATAAAGGCAGTTATTTATTACACAGGAACCAAAGAAATGCCGTTTTCGAAGCATATCGGGAGCTCTGTGCCACCTGTTTGTCCGGGCACTATAGAATATAACACGCCTAATTGACCCCCTTAGTGGATCCTTTCCTCCAAACAAGTACAGGTGGCAACCACTTAGTACAGCACAACCAAAACCAAGGGCCTCAGAATACTCCCTTGGAACTGGAGGAAGTGGCAGCCACAGCTGATGTATAGGGTCAAATGCATTCCATGAGATCTTTCCATCACGATCTCGCTTGAAGACATAGACCCACTCTTCTGCCATTCCAAGACTTTTCCTAAGAGAATAAAAGAAGTTCCCAGACAAAAGGCGATACCATCTCTTACAAACCAGACGGAGTTTTTGGTGTTCAGCACGAGGAACTCGAATGAGACATGCAATGGCAAGATCATCAGGAAGGCTAGGAAGGAGAGGTGGCTGGACTCGAGTCCTCTCTCTGCATAAGTTTTTAGTCTTGTGAGCATTGGGATTGATATCAGGCTGCACACAAAGCTTTGATCCAGGGACAAATTTTCTTGCTTCAGCAACAGTCTTTAATCCAGAATCCACTTTACAATAGCAAGATACAGAATCAACCTGCAAAAGTTTCCAGTTAGGAACTAAAAAAGATGGACATCAGAATATGATAAGGATGTAGAGCAGAAAAAAAGAGAAACAACTCATATTAGATGCATCATTGATCATTCATTGTGCCTTTTGCAAAAGTTTGCACCTTACTCGTACTTATGTGCTTACAAACAATATCAACAAAGGCAGAACATCAATCCACCGTTATCATTTCCAGATGACAACAAAAGGAAAGCTTTCAAATTTTCTTGAGAAAAATCAGTAGTGAGGGTGTAGATCAAGTCCTCCCTTGATTACTTGTTTGTTTACTATGAACAGCTGCTTGACTTAACATGGCATGTTCCAGATGTCCACATTGTGACGTGAGAATTCTAGCTAAAGCGTCAGAGACTGAAGCAAAGATTTGAGTCCTTCAGGAAGTTACTGTTTTTGCAATGCTTGGGCTGCATGGAGATTGGAGAGCATGCACTTCACCAATTTTCAAATCAGTGTAGACATTATCAGATTTAGTTACTAACCACACTATAAGAGTCCATCTTCAGACTCCTACAAACTTTGCATCTCAGATTTTTCAGAAATAATTTAAAAGCTCTAATGCTCCAAGGTTTTTTAAAGTATATCAAGTACAAGCATTAAGCATTATTCAAAGAAGGCAACCACCACTTTCACTTCTTCTCCTTTCTATTAAGGAACATGTCTGAATTGAGGAAATAGGACATGCAAAAACTCAGGCAGAAGGGGAAGAAAATAAAAGGTATTCCATAAGATATGGTATCAAAGAACAAAGTGCCTAAATAAAAGTTAAAAGATAACCAAACAATACAATTAGGTCCAGCGGTCATACAATTTGGTATTTAATTTTAGTTGGCCTACGTCGATGATCAGATCTTCATTTCAAATAAAAATAAAAAATAAAATTAAGTTCACACGCTAGGCAAGTAGAGACCCAGTTCTTGGGCAATGTGCCAAAGCCAACAAATTTACATATGAGGAAGTATAATAGAGTCTACAACAATTTACCAGCATTCCATCCACAAATTTAAGCTTTAAGTTTTTGATATTTGAGAGAACCACCAAATCTAAAAGCTTGAAATGAGAGGGAATGACAATTAATATATACTAATACAAATCATTGACATTACCCATCACAACTCACAAGCAAATGAGGCAGGAATCTGCATGTGAGTCACCATCTCAGGGATTTATATCATAAGAACTGAGTGTCAGGATTCCAGACACAAAAGCACCAGAGGTATGTTAGTCTTAAAATTTTGTAAAAGACCAAATAAGACTAAATACAATAGTCTTGCATTCTTGTACATTCTACTCTTAACAAAATTATTTTGACCACTTACAGACCAATTCATTCATAGGATCTGTCACAAGCAACCAAACCATTTACCAAGCACAAAGCCACAATCTATATATGCACGTATGTCCATCTATAGAACACTATGAGAAACTAATAGAAGCTCCTCCATACTTATTCCTATATGGTGCTAGTAGCCATTAGCAGATAACTTAAGAGCTTACAAATAAGCCAGGTGCAGAGCAATATCTCTTTTTAATGCTTCATTTTATTATCTAACAAACAAAAAAATAAATTAATGTCAAAAAAAGTAAAACAGCACTTGTAACTAAAGCAAATTCAAAACAAGAAACCAATGACTCTCAAAATATCAACTAAAACTAAAGCAAGCTTATTTTAAGACCAAATTTAATTACATTTCAAGCAAAAAATAAGTCGAAAATATCCTCATAAAAAATTAAAGAGAAAAACCTCCAAAACTTAGAATGAAGGGGAAAGGAAACACCGAAGTTGCGGGAGTTTAAAATGCAGAATTGAAATACAGAGAATCAAATTGAGAACTGAAAAGGTAAAAGTTACAAGTTGCAGAGGAAGTAAAACAGGAAAATAACCCCTATATATATGTTAATCAAATCCCTGATTACCCCCCCCCCCAAAGGAATGGTAGAATGATTCAAAAGAATTTGATCTCGAAATCGATAGCTTGCACAAAGAAGAGAACAGCAAAATGAAGAGAGCAGAATTCCCACCATCAATACAGAAAACAACTAAGCATTTAGAAACCCTTGAAAAATTAATTACAGAGCATACTAAGGCATGTCAAAGCCTCAAATTTTAGAATCCCAATTGCCCAATTGAATACAACTATCCATCTGGGTATCTTCAGATTTTCATGAAAACTTAATCCAAAAAGGAACCATGTCATCTTTCCAATAACTCCATCTTAGTATCTTCAAATCACGTTTCCAACAGATTCATCAACTATCTCTAAAACCTTACAAATTTCAACCAAAAAATTACAGAATAAAAAAAAAAAGGGAAAAGTTTATGTCGGAGCTTACCAATGGAGCTTGAATTCGAAAACCTCTAGGAGCATTAGATGACTGTTGGTAAATAGATTGCTCCATCGTTTAAAACCAAAGAATCATAGACAGTATCAAAATCTACTATACTCTAACCCCTTTTTCTCCTTTTTCTTTTGTTTTTCTTTCTCCTTGAGAGGCTCAGATCGAGACCCCAAATTGAATACTCATAATCTGATTCTCCAACCTTAAAAATTAATTTTGTAACCTATCTTTAGTAGCGTGTATGTATGTTCCTACATTTTATATATAAAAAAGAAAACCAACATTTTTTGTCTTTTTTTCTTCACATTCCATTTCTTTCTTTTTCATCTAAGTAATAAACCACCAACAAAATTAAAAAAAAAAAAAAAAATCAGTCTTTGCGGCGTTTTTTTTTTTTTTCTCTGTCTCAACTGAAGAGCAAACACACAGGGACCCGTGGGTTTCACTAACTTCTTTAAATTTTGTTAGTTTTTTTAATTATTATTAGTAGCATTAATTTTGAGTGAATTTTAATGTTAAAGTGGTAAGAAATGAAGTTTTAATGAGGGAGGGGACTTCTTAATTGTTTACAATCGTCGGTCAAACCCCACTTTAAATGGTGTAAGAGAGAGAAATGATCATCATGTGGATGAATTAAATACCTCTTGCTCTTTATATTTTTTTGTTTTTCTCTATTTTTATCAGATATAATTGTAACACGTCCAACATGAGGCTTAATACCAAAATTAATCTTTGAACTTTATTCAAAAATACAAGTAAGTTTTCCATATCTTATTACATAAAAATAAAGTTAAAAACATTTATTTTATTATAATTATATTTATTTTTTTAAAATATTATAATTATATTCATTAAATCTTAAAAAAAAAAGATAAATGACATCCAATTAATAAAATTTTTAAAATAGCATTTCTTTGAATATTTTTCATTAAATCCATCCAAATAAATTTAGATAAATATTTTTTTGCAAATTCAATCATCCAACTAAAAAATTTCAATAAAAAATTAAATATTTAATACTAATAAAATTTTAACTACAATAAAATAAAAGTTAATAATCTTAATTTTTTAATAAAAATTTATGAACTTATTTTATTTTTAAACAAACTTGGACGGCTTTTATCTCATATCAAGTACTAGTAAGAATCAAAATTTTCACTTTTCCATTATCCCCTTCTTAAAGGTGTTCATGAATTAAGCTCTATTAACACTTCTTGAAGATGTTCATGAATTAAGCTCTATTAGCACCTCCATAAAACTTGTCCAAAGGCCTTGCCAGTTTGTTTGGATCTATTACTATTAAAATATTCTTTTTATATTAATATTTTAATATATTTTATAACTAAAACAAAATAATAAAATTAATAATAAAACAATGTTTCATGTCAGGTCTATTCGCATAAGTGAGGCAAGTGGGTCTGACCGACAAATCTTTTTAGACAGATCTATCAGTTCCATCCTCATAGTATTTCTCTTGACCATGCAAAAGCCTAAAAGTAAAGGTTTATTTGCCTCGTTCAAACAACTATATTTTTATTTTTTTATTATTTCTAAGAAAAAGAATACGACTTGGTAAATTTGTGTATAAAAATGAAAAAACAAAACGTCAATAAGAAATTTTTTTTTTGTAAAAAAAATTTAAAAATAAATAAATTATTTAATATTTTATATTAAAATAAAATATATTATGATAATTTAAAATAAATAATTACATATTATATTTGATATCGTATTTGATAATATTTCTCTCCACCATGCAAAAGCCTAAAAATAAAGGTTTTATTTGCCTCGTTCAAACAACTATATTTTTTATTTCTTTTATTATTTCTAAGAAAAAGAATACGACTTGGTAAATTTGTGTATAAAAACGAAAAAACAAAACGTCAAATAAGAAATTTTTTTTTGTAAGAAAAAATTTAAAAATAAATAAATTATTTATTATTTTAGATTAAAATAAAATATATCGTATTTGATAATTTAAAATAAAAAATTATAAATTATATATTCGAGATAATCTCAACAAATAATTATTAATAGAATTCAAACTTAAAATTTTTTCGTAATCACTTAAAAAAAATAATATCATAAGCTTTGATTTAAGATCAATATAATTTCATGCTAAACAAAATAATTATGAAATAAAAAATAATTATATAAATTTATTGCAGTTTTTTATATCACAACTTTATTATGTTGCTCGTTTATTAAAACAGTCCAAATTCATCCAAAAACTATTTAAAGAAAGGGCAAAAGCTTTAACGTGCAAGAAAATACTTTTGAATATATTTATTTTATGATAGATGTGCAAGGAATAAACGACACATGGACAACAAGTACTCTCTCCCAAGTCTCAGGCGTCAAACATTCATCCGTGCCAAGTCTTCCTTCATTTTTCATTCTATTTCTTTTTTTTTTTTTTTTTTTCCCTCTCATTTGCAACTTCATTCTACTGCCTTATGAGTTAGGAATTTTGAATCCTTATCTGTCTCATTTTTTTTCTCTCAATTTTCGTTGACCCTAATCCCCCATTTCTTCTAAAATATCTTATCCACTTTTTCATTCACCAATTTCACCCTTATCTAATAAACCTTAAAATATTTATATAATCCTTAACTAATAAAGATAATGTCCTTAAAAGGACATGTCATGTAGTTATTTTTTATTAATGATAGATGAAGCAAATGACAAATAAACAATAGGGATATTCTAATAATTTAACATGTAATTAACTTTTATATAGTTATAGATAAATTATAAATTATAGATAATAGAATTATTTTCAAAAAATATATGTCACGTGTCAAGTTTTCATGAAGCAAATGATAAAAGAATTATAGTAATTTAATATATAATTAAGTTTTATATAATTAATTTAATAAGAGTATTATAATAATTTTTAAAATGTCACATATCAAATTTTTATGAAACAATAGTAAGGATATATTAATAATTCATTATATAATTAATTTTATATTATATTAAAATTTAACATGAGTATTACAGTAATTTTCAAATAAAATGTCATATGTTAAATTTTTATAAAATAATAGTAAGGGATTTTAATAATTTAATAAGTAATTGATTTTATATTATATTAAAGTTTAATATGTAATTTAATATAGATATTATAATAATTTTAAAATAAAATATCACATGTGAAATGTTTATGAAACGATAAAAAAAAAGTATTTTAATAATTTTATATATAATTAAGTTTATATTATGTATAAATAGGGTTTAAAAATGTTGGACACCATTACCACGCTATGGGCACCAAAAATCTTGTAAGACCAGGGGTGTTTATTGGACGGGTAGGGGTTTAGAGCAGTCAGTGTGAGCATTCTCTGTCGCCGATTTTTCGAACCCTTTTCGTCCCCACTTTAGGGATAAATTTTCTCCATAACACAGGTCGTGCGAGGATCTAATCACCATTCTCCTTTTTTTTTTTTTTCAAAAATGAAAATAAATATTAAATTTATCAAATTCAATTTATTTTCTTTTTGTATTATGCAACTTAAAAGTGATATTTTTTATAAATTTATTCATTTACATAACTTTAGATAATTTTAAAATTTTAAAATATATACCAAGACCAGTCCCTAATCTAATGAAAAAGATAGAATTTCTCCATCCTCGAGAATTATTCCTTGAATTTATCCATATTTGTCGAAGTAAAAATCTTTATACGATTCATGTGAAATTGAGAGCATTTTACTAATAATTTTTTTATTATAAATTTATAATTAATCAATCATAATAAAAACATATATAATGATCCATCATTTAAAAATGAAAACTCTACATAATTTTTTTTTTTTATGAATCTTACAAAATACTAAATTTTAATTGATTAATTATGATACAGTAATTATAAATAATATACTCAAAAATTGACTTCCCTAATTATGAATAAGGTTATGACAAATACTCCTTGCAGGTTTAAACTAAAGTTTAATCTTTCTTTTGCTTTTTTAATTTTTGCTGCGGTATCTTAATCCTTGTTTAACAATCATTAATCATGGTACGTGGATCAATTACAGAGTTACTCATGTCAATGATGCCTCCTTATTTTACTCATAAAAGTAATCAATAGTCTAAAACAAAACTTCGACAAATTTTTACTGTGCATTAATTCAAATTGTTCATTTATTTTTTAAAAAGTTAAATTTCAATAATTTGATTTCAATACTTAATTTTTTTAATTTTTTCTAAATATTAAATTCTTTTTTACGAAAAAATTAATATATTTTTAACCATTAATTCACTTAATTAATCTATTATTAATGAGCATTTCTCCTTGAATTGGTTTTGTGAATTTTATTAAGCTTGATTTCTTCAATGTAGAGTGGCTTAAAACTAAAATTCATTCACGAAGGACTTTTGTCTTTTTATATTTGATTATAGGGTTTTAAACTTTTATATGACTATAAAAAAAAACAAGTGCGGTAGCAAAATAAAGAAAAAAAAAAAGAGAAAAAGAGATTTTGTATAGTTCTGATCAAGTAGCTTGATCGAAGTTAATCCGTTATCTGACTGAGCTGAAATTTTATCAATATATTCACGATTCATTATTCTTCAGTTTAAACAATGGAGATTGAGTTTTAAGTTTTTTATCTATTGATTTTGTAGGTATTTGTTAATCCTTAAACTTACTAATACTTCTTCAATTTTCTCTTGCAAAATTGTTTCATTACCAATATTATTTAATCTTGAGATATTGTAGTTATATACCTACAGTTCTAGCTAAAGAGAATTTTGTATTCATATTATTTTGATAGTGAAAATTATTTATTGTTATCCGTGGTTTTTACTCCTCATTTTGAAAAAGTTTTTCACGTAAATTGCTTGTGTCCTTGTGCTTATGATTTGATTATTTATTTGTTAGCTCTATTTATTTGATTCTTGCTATATTCACATAAGATAAGGATAATTTGATTTTTTTCGTTATGTGACATATTCGGTTTGAATATTATTTAAGGTTATTTTATCTCATCAAAGTGGCATCAGAGCTTAAGCTATTTGATTTATACTTTATGTTGAATAATATGAGCCAATACAAGTGAAATGATTAATTTAAATGGTTCAATTACCATGTGTGAAAAGGGAAGATGGATAACTTGCTTTATATGAAGGATTATTATTTGCTTGTGTTTGCCACTAAAAAGCTTGAAAATAAAACAAATGTGAAATTAAATTTGTTTTATCGATAGGTATGTGGTTATATTAGACAGTGGGTAGATGATAGTGTTTTAAACCATATTAGTGGAGAAACACATGCACACACTCTTTGGAGCAAGCTTGAGGAGTTGTATGCTTGAAAAATTGAGAATAATAAACTATGTT